GCACTCACCAACACACATGGGCTAACATCAACTAGCACTAGTTGTTCGACCATATAGTTTACAATATGGGTTCTATAGGACATTTTTATGTGTGAAATACGTTAATACAAAATTCATTTGGACCATCCATATACGATGACTGGCATTTGAACTATCAGTGGTGACATCATTGCACTTTATACAGAGTGCATGAACTATAGAAGAGGTCAACTGTGAGTGGGTGTTCTGGTGTGGGTGCAGGAATGAATTCTCATTTCAGTGAAGACAGAGAGCTACATGTTTACATTACCCAACATTCAAGTCTTTTCACACTGCTATACTATAGCTTGGGTGTTTAACCAATTAGTCGTGAACCGTTATAGAGTGTACTAAAATGCATCCTCCTTGACAATTCAACATCCCACCATTTTGTGTCATATGCTACACCGACTCTGATTGGATGTATTTTTGGGTTTATCAGGGTTATCTTGCTGGTCCATAATGTTGTGTTCTTTGGTGAGGCTCTTAACGCCTGTGCTTTTCCCCACCCAGCAGTAAATGTATACTTTGTAGAGTAGTGTTCGCTATATGTGTGCTTGACTCTTAATCTGCTCAGGCAGCATGCCCCCAGGAAATTGATGATTGTTTACAATATAAGCCCCAGTGAACAGAGTTAATAATATATAGGTCCTGGATATATGGCTCTATATAAATGCCTATGCATTATTTTTTTAACCGAGTTCAAATATGTTTCCAATCATGCCCATGTTCGTAGGAGTATGTTTACATTGAGTACGTGCGATTTGGATGGTGCACCAATTTATGCAGCTTTCCTTTTTGTCATATCTAGGGGTATTTGACCTGTTGTTGGTGCGTGGGCGATATACTGTCAAGCTTCAGTCATCAACCAATATATTCAAATTGTCTGCTCGACCATCTCCATTGATACACGTTATACATAAAATTGTTATACAGTTTTTCGTAACAAACTCAGAATTTGACCTTACTAATCTTGACGACAAGGGATTGTTGTTGATGAAAAAGATCACTGTTTTACTCAGAAAATCCCCTCCCTAAAAATAATAATTACAATGAAAATAACCAAAAAGGGATGACTTGCCTTGCTTGTCATTATTTGAAATTGAGTTTAAATTCTGAAAGCCCAAGGTCAGTGCTATTTTTACAAAATAAAACTATATATAATTATATCCATATGTGTCAGCAAATCGGAAAGTACTTTGTGATATCATGGATATAGTGTTAATGAGCCTATAGTGTTCATTTCATATTCATTGGCACATGCAGGTGAATACAAAATTAATTGATCCAAAAAAATTCTTTTTGTGAGAATTTTTCACCGTCAAATTAATGCATGTACTTTTATAAACCATTGAGAATTAACCTTTTCACCACCAGACTTTTTCGCCCAATTTTTTCTGCACTTTTTTTCTTATATTCTTCAATATTTCTTGAAATGAACCCTAATTATGGTGCCAACTGACAAAATCTGGGTCAATTTTCAGTTTTTACTCAAAAAATTTGGATAGTTTTGTATCTATCTTCTGAAAGAATGTGCAGACTATAAATGGGACTATTTTGTGATGAAAATAGGACACTGGTGGTGAAAAGGTTAAATGAATACTATCAGCTTTTGTCAATATATATTATAATAAACAACTTAATCTGAACATCACTGGATTTTCTGAAATTAGTCTGAACAAATCTTAAAAATGGGGAAAATCTTGTGCTAAAATATTAGGGGGGTGCATTGTGTTTAAGGGGACAAGCAAACTTAAGGTGTACATGTATGTGATAGGTCATATAACATGTCTGAACACAAAATTGTAACTGTTAAAGAAATTACACTGATTTTACTCATTCCTCAAAATTTATCAAAATCCTGAAAACAAATTACTGTAATTGTTAAATCTCCATCACTAGCTATTGCTTATTTCAATAATTGACAATAATTAAATATTACTGAAAGTCGCTGTGACTTCATGTCAGTCACTCTTGTAAAATTTACCGGCTAGATTTTGTTAAAAGCAGTTTATAATTGTTTACGCAAGCAATAATTTTATAGTGGTACTTTGTATTACTTGAGTGTCCAGTACAGTATAGTCAACAATCAATGCACTATCAGCTCACTTGTCCACCCACGTATAGAGTATTTAAGACATTCATATCTGTTGTGCTACATGGTTACCAGGGATACGCTGACCTGTGACAAACACCCACGCATCAGCCCATTAGTCTCTGTAATAGTTGTGGTTGTGTTCAATCTCCCACTCAAAACAGACAAATTTGTCTGTCTGTCTTAACTTCTTTAAATATGTCTGAAAATGATCCTTAATTTTGGAGCCAGCAGACAAAATATGAGTCAATTTTCAGTTTTTACTCAAACAATTTGGCTATTTTTGTCTCAATCCTCTGCAGGAAAGTGCAGACTATAAGCGGGACTATTTTGTGAATTTGTGATGAAAAGAAGGAACTGGTGGTGAAAAGGTTAATTTCACTATTTTTGCTGATAACTATAATTTGTGATGCCTAATGAATCGAGTTGCCATTTCGGTCAAAATGTCCGAAGCTATTTTTAAGACAACTGTACTGTTGTGTGTATTTGTACATTTGCAATAACTATAATACATATGTGAGCACTAACAATATAGGGCAAAGTTAAATTTGAAATTATTTACTTGCAACATTAAAAACGGCATTTTGCAAATACAAAATATACATACAATGTATATATTCCCTGTCCACACTTGAAACGTAAAGTGCAACATTTTATTAGTGTATAATTTCAAACCTGTTTTGGAATTGTAACGTGAAACAATGAACTGTAACATGTGGACATTTTGAAGGTACATGTACTTATCTTTTGAATTGAAAGCCTAGGTTTTCCCCATGAAGTAGATGCCTATTACGTAATTTGATGATGCACCCCTTTTATTAAGAGTTACTATTATCAAGACGTTTTTCAAACTAGTCATTTAAATTTTATTTATTTTATTATTGGGAAATGAAAACAGAATCAAATTAAAATTCTTTTGTTTGCAGTGTGAATATTTTGTCCACTATGAAATAACTAATAATAATAACGAAATGTAAACTTTAATATTACCGGCGGTAATCACAATGAGATTGACTATTTTGGAGTGGGTGTGTTTTACCTGTCATGTGACTCGTCTCATCCAATCTGTTGACAGGAATGCCATCCTGAACAGCTGATTACAGAAAGTAAATTCTTACGCTTGGATTCTCTGCAAGAGTTGATCAAGTCATTGACCTTTGCATCATCTGGTCCTGACACTGCGGTCTCGCTAGGTATCCAGTTTGATGAAGAAGCCGCAGTCTTTTATTTAGAGTTACTGTTACGGGTAGTCTTACAAAATAGGTAAGATAATTTGCAATTCTAAAAATTCTTATGACTTTTCTATTTTATAACTCATGAGATCTCTCTTTATTCACATGTACAAATGTCGGTAGAGGCTCAGTTCAACTTTTAAATTGACTTTAGATGCAAATGACTGTCGAAATCTTACTGGGAGCGAGAGCGCCACAAGACTTATTTTCACTTCTCAGATAGTATTCCATTCGCTCTCTCATGTCCTTGTTCAAAAATACCATGGTTACATATATCAGGTGAATAAAGACACCATGGACGAAAGAAAAAAGAAACACTATTTCGAGCAAAAAACAAGTCTTATGATTTTGAGCGTGATCTCAGCAGCCATATTCGTATCTACGATCTATTATCGTCACCTGTGTACCTCACCTCTAGCTACATATGACCAACTGTCTCCGCAAGTGACATTCAAGCAGCTTCCCTCTTACAATATTCGTCAATCATTAATTTCAGAGTTCACAGGCACCTTGCTACATGTCGGTAGTTTGTCAGATATGCAAATTGTTTGAGATGGTTTACATGGCAACTGGAATGTATTTAAATATTGTCAGTTTAAATCTTATGCCACATGAAACAGACAAACAAACTAATATCATTACGTCTACAGAGGAGAAATGAGAAAAATGTTCTACATGTATTTACTATTTGATAGATCTATAGCTTTATTGTAGTTGAGTTTGATTATTAATTTAGTGTTAGTTTGTAACTTATTTTCAATTTGTAATAGTTATCTTCATGTTATTGGTTAGTATCAGTTATTTTCAAC